GCAAGGTACCTAATTTCATGTCAACTGGTTATTTGCTCAACAGCATTACCACATTTTTGTAGGCCTCATAGATACACGAGACGTTTGCTTCAGAAATAATTTCAAGTTGATGAATTGAGTCAAACACACCATCAGAATTGTGACTCAAGATTACACCACTTCTGAAAGTCTGTGAATATCATCATCTCAACTATCTGAAGTACCTAGCTAGTAAAAGAAAATGTAATTGTAAGCAAGTAACACTGTCAAGCATTTTCCACTTGAATCTTTGAACAAAATATTCTCTCTAGGTGAAAGATCACATTATTTCTTGGTTTCTTATGGTTAAATTTATACATAAAATAATATAGATATCTGAACAGTTTTTCCACATTTTATAAGGGAATAATTCTAAACTTCTGTTACATGCTGGGAAAACATTTCATCTGATATGAAATTATTTAGGATGTAGACTGTATACTTCATTAAAGTTTACATGATGTTGTCCAACATGGTAGCCACCAACCATATGTTGATATAGGTTGGTTACTTGAAATGTAGTTAGTCTGAATTGGGATGTGCTGTAAGCATAAAATACATAACAGATTTCAAAATTTAGTATAAAAAAATGTAAGAAATTCTTGCCCTGCTGGTGTGGCTCAGTGATTGAGTGTCAACCCCTGAACCAAGGGGTTGGTTCGATTCCAGTTCAGGGCACATTCCCAGGTTGCTGGCTAGGTTCCTGGTGAGGGGCCTGCAGGAGGTGGCCGATCAATGTTTCTATCTCTCTATCCTTCTCCCTTCCTCTCTCTCTCAAATCAATAAAATAAAATATTTTTAAAATGTAAAATATATCAATAATTTTTATATTGACCCTATATTAAAGTAATATTTTAAACATATAGGATTAAATAAAATATATCATTACATTAATTTCACTGGTGTATTTTTACTTTTTAATGTTGCCACTAGAAAATTTAAAATTACTTATGTGACTCACCTTATATTTCTATTGGAAAATGCTGGTTTATACTGTTAAAAAAATCCACTGAACAAATAATCTTTTCTAAAAAGAGTGATATGTGCACAGGATTTTTGACAAATATTAAAGATGATGGGGAAAAAAACATAAAGAATAGGAAACAATCTCTGCCGATAATTACATTTATTATGAAATATAATGTGTATCATATATTTACTCTGACTTAAGGGAAGAACTTGGGAAATTATGTCAGATAAACAAAAATTCATGGAAAAGGTATAATAACCTTATGTTATTATATCACACAGAACCACAAGCTGGAATATCAACTTATATAACAGTCTATACAGTGTCTATTTTTACTGCATTATAAAATTAATATATGGATTTTACAAGTTTTATACTTCATTTTTATTGGAGATTAATATGCTTTTATAATTTCATACATATTATTTAGTTGAAAGGGTTTTCAAGAATTATTTAATCATGATTTTAATTTTGCCTTTTATATTTCACCCACATTCTAATAATTTTGCTAACTTTGAAAAGTGCTGCTTTAGCGTACATGAATTATATAGAATTATACACTGAAAAAAATTTTTTACACTGAAATTTTTCATACAAAATGTAAAGCTAGCTATATTTTGGATCAAAGAAAGATAATTTTACCCCAACATTAAGAAGCTATTAGACCACTTGTAAAATCACAAAACCTTCCTCTAAATATTCTACTAAACATAATTCATTTCCAAGAAATGTTTGAAGTACCCCTAACAACCTCTCTCTCCTAATTTCACTCCCTTTATTATCAACTAGAGGCCCAGTGCATGAAATTCATGCACAGGTAGGGTTCCTAGGCCTGGCTGGCAATCAGGGCTGATCTGTAAGGGGGGCGGGGGGGGAACGGGGGGGGGGGGGGGCGCTGGCACCCGCCTTGGCTGGTCTGGCGCTGCCTGCTTGCTGGCCCCGCCCCCCACCACTGGTCGCCTCCCTCTGTGGGGAGGGGGGGTGACCCCACTGGCACCCGCCTTGGATGGCCTGGGGCCTGTGGGCTGGGGGCAGCTCCTGCATTGAGTTTCTGCCCCCTGGTGGTCAGTGTGCATCATAGCGACTGGTCATTCCGCCATTTGGTCAATTTTCATATTAGGCTTTTATTATATAGGATAAGTCTTTAATTCCCCAGATTTCTTTTGAATGTGCTGTTATGGGTGGTATGTAGAAGTGAAATTTAAAAATTAATCAACACCATATCCACCAATGCCAATCTTTCCCCAAAGAGTTGATGATACAATGACAACATGAGCTTACAAAATAAATCAAAATATTTAACTTGTTTCTAAATCCATGTCTCAAAAAGTAAATCATCGTTTTTGTTGAAAACATTTTCCCAATATAAAGATCCAAATCCTTCACTTCTTTTCAGTACATTTCATAAATGACCTCTTTCTCTAGCTCTATGTTTTCCCTATCTCTCTTTCACTTGCTCTTGATCTCATTTTAGCTGTCATTCTCATAATCTAAATCAGGTGTATTATACATTTTACTGGCCCATTCGATGTCTATTAAGATTCTCTCAAAATATGTAATACTCACTTCTCTCTACCTAACTGCCTGTTACACAAGACTTGCTTCCTGGGAATGTTTCATCCATTTTTCCAGATAATATAAAATGTCAGATAACATACTTAATGTTAAAAGCTTTCTTAAATAGCCCTTGAATTCCTCTAATCACCACATTATCAATTACCAAAGAATCATAGGGTAAGACCAATGTCCAGGTTGAAGGCTTTTATTTAAGTGTCAGAATTTTTAATTATAATGTTATAGAAATATACAGTGTATTAATTATGAGTGCACCACTGGAAGCATACTGGAGAGTTTGGGTCTGGGCTCCACCATTTACTAGTTGTGTGATTTAGGCATTTTACTTCTTTGCGTTGGTTTCTTCATCTATAAAATGGTATCGATATGGGGTGGGTGGGGCAAAAGTAGCTTTACAGTTGTAAGTGAAAGAGAGTTTATACCTGTATTATTATTTATTAATTATTGTAAACCTACTTTTACCCCAGCCTTTATAGTATTTATCCCTTGTTGTGAAAATTAAGTGGGAAATAAAATAAAAAATGCTCAAAGAAATCTGGCACATTAGAAACAGTCAATATGTCATATCCTGTATAGAAATGCTCAAAACTCCAACATCAAAAGAAAAGATAACTGAATTTCAAGGTAATTCTAACTTTCAAAGCTATTTAAAATTTTTGTGGCTCAGACACAGACTAAAGACAATAGGAGAGTAATAAAAATTCACCCTTCAAAGCAATACAATAAAATATCTACAATTTGCAAAATTGGATTGAATTGTCATGGATACACATGTAATTTGAATGTATACCCCTAGTTTATAAGTTATTAAATTAAAATTTCCCCCAATTTCCTAAAAATACTAGAAAAATGCCACAACTTTTGCCCATTCTCAATTAAAATGTACATGATCTATTATAAAACTTTATATGACACACCCTATATGTATATCATTGGATATATGATAGAAGGCAGAACGCCTACTTTACGCAGATTGGCATTGTTTCTTTCCTATTTATTCTGAGAAGCAAAACTCATTTTCTCAGTGAATAAAGTTTAGTGAAGCAATCAGGCATCAGTCCCTATGGAAACACATTAGGTTATCTTGTGAGATTTCTTCAGAATGCATGCAGAATTTGTGTAAAGAAACTCTAAATAAACAAATAATTAAATGAGTAATCTGACAGGAATGCAAAGATCAGTGATACAGCATTGATCATCTCTAAGTATAAACGTCAAGTCAAAAAACGTTAGGCTACTTTAGCACAATCATGTTTGGGTTATAATTTGAAGACTGAAATCACTGAGTCTTATATAACTGTTTGGTAATGGCTGCCGTGGGGAGTATAATCTCTACCTTTCTCTCCATCCTCCCTTATCACTCCTTAGAAAGGAGAAAATGATAATTGGGCTAAATTCCAGGACACATAATGGACCATATGTGTGAGTGTATGTGTAAATGGCACATGCATGCTTGCATGAGGTGCTCCAATTAGGCATTTTCCTACCCAAGCAGCAGAAGGGTGAGGGGAGGTGCCCTCTCAGGACAGGCCAATCTTTTTGATCCAACCTGTTCCTATATTAATAGGAGTGTTCAGGTATCCGGACCCTTAGAGCCTGGGTGCTGGCTTGCATACAATGCAGAGAGAAAAGCCTTCGATCTTGAGCTTTATCCTCATTCCTTAGCTCCATTTACCAGTCACCTCTGGGCTGGAATTTAGGGCATGCAGCCAAGTAAAATTAAATGCCCTTTGTTTTCCAACTTGTCATTCTCCTTGGCCTCCCTATGTTCACTTCCTGGAACCACCTGGAGAGGCTGTTTTCTAGGCCAAGGCGAGATTTGAGCATTACTGGGTACCTTGGCTTTAACATCATCTAAAAACACCTCAAAATCAACCCTATTTAAAACAATAGAAACAGTGGGACAATACTTAAGAAGAAAGAAAAAAGGTAGTGCATTCCCTCTTTTTTAGTCTTTAACGTCTGCTGTGATGTGCAGAGGGAGACCATAATTTCGGAACTCGGAACAACTATTTTTACTGGCAATCAGACATAATCCTTGCATTTTATTTTGTTGTTTGTTGTGAGGGGAATATCTGTTTTGGAGGGGGAGGGGTGAAGACTCAGGTGTGTGCCCATGAATGATATGGGATATAAAGATTATAGGAATCTTCGGAGAGATTGTGAGATACAGAAATAAAACAACATCTGTAAGTTGGATACCATGAGAAATCATCAGATCCAAATGTACTATGTTACTGGAAATGAGGAAGACCTCTATTTTAATCTCCACATTAAAGAAAATACACTCATTCTTCAAATCTCATGTAAACACTTCAGCAATATTTGGAAAAAGAGGACAAAATTAAAATGCAAAAACATGGTCATTTCAGTATACTTATTTATTAAAGCACATTAAGTGCCAAGAGCAAGAATAACAGAAGAGACAATGTCTTACCTCCCATCTCGATCCCAGTCATACACCTGTACTTTGATTGTTCTGTCCATGAGAAAAACATACACATAAAGTTACTTAGTAAGATCAAAATGATATATAAACCCAAGAACTTATATGTCATAGCCCATGGACATGGGCAATAGGGTAGTGAAGACCTGGGGGGAATAGGGGCTTGGAGGACGGGGAGTTAAGGGGGGTAAACGGGAGACATCTGTAATACTATCCACAATAAAAAATATCCATCAAAAACAAAATAAATGAATTGTAGTTTTTAGAAACAAAATAGTGTACGCCTGAAGGCTTTCCACAGTAATTTGAACTTGTCTTTGATCATTTTATTGCTAAATTCAATTTGTGTCTTAGCCGAGGTTTCTAAAATCTGCACTGATGCTGTAAAGGGAGCAGGGAAAGTATATGGGAGAGGCGTGTAGTGTGACAGAGCTCCTTCCTCAACAGGGAGCCATTCAGCTACATCTCTCCTTTTGAAAACATTGTGTCAGAACAGGATTTCTCATCACAGCACAGACCAGAATCCCAGGAAGGGCTTGTAAAAACATGCATCCTTGGACCTCATCCCCAGAGTTCCTGGGTCAGTAACCTGGGTTGGGGCCTGAGAACCTGAACTTCCACAAGGTTCACCAGGTGATACTGAACTACAGTATGAGAAGCACCTTCTTAGAGAAAGGATAACCAGTTAATTAAATCATAATCCAATTAAAGGAATAAAATGAGAGTCAAATGGCATGATACATTTTAGAATAAAAATAATGACATATTGGTAATCAATAGTTCCTTCTATGATATTAGTTAACAGAATAAATTCCCAGTTTCCTAATATATAAGTAATGAGAAAAATAAAATAAAGAGACTGAGCTTTTACTTTCTATTTATTTGCTTTTCTTTTGGGGTGAGTAGGGGTTTTTATATTATAACCTTACAATCAATGTTAATTTTTAAAAAATACACCTTTGATATTAATAAATTTTCAGGTATATAATGGAAAGATCTTCAGGGCCACCACACCCACCTACTAGATCTATAGATTTAGCAACCATGAGAACAGTGCTGAAAATAGAATTTTAAGGAGTTTTTCAGGGTTGATAATATATCTAGTCATAGTCTTATTTCATATATTTACTTATGCCAGCCTAGAAAGACAATACCAAATGAAAGCCTTGAGGCGGTGAAAATTGTGGAATGACTTTTGAATAGTAATATGTTAAAAAACTTAAACTAATATTCAATATCTTTTTAGCACTTTCCACATTTTTCTTCTTGGAAATACAGTCAGTTTAACCAATTTTAACTTACCAAATTATCCCTCTTCCCCAAAACTTAAAGAAATTATTCATTCTTTTGTGCATACACACTTACATCAGTAAAGAAGCTATTTTAATTTTTTAAGCAACTTAGGATTATTGAATACAACATCTATAGTAAATAATCAAAGCTCTCAGAAAAGCTGTCATTTATTTTACCTGTCATAATCGCCATTACATAATGCTCGGACTGAGATCTTGAATGCTTGCCATACAGGATTCAGAGTATTTTTGACAACTTCTGTTTTATGGCAAATTGTAAAACTGTAAAAAAAAAAAAAAAAAAAAAAAAAAAAAAAGG